ATATTCTTGCCTAGAACTTTCCTATTTTCTCTCCTAGCTGCCTCTCTATTTGTCCTGATAGCAGGTAGATATGAACTTTGGGCCCAAAATTCCTATAGCATTTCAAATGCCAAGTTATTGTCCTGCAAGAGCCTTCCCACCTTTCAAAGCCTGAGATTTGGCAGAGTTGGAACTGGGAGAAGGGCTGATGATATGCAGTGGTCTCCACCAACACAGTAGTTTTGGCAGAGAGCAGGAAACGGCTCTCCATACCTGTCTCCCTTTGTTCTGGACCCAAAGCTGAACTACACTTTGCAGCATCCTTTGGGGGTAGGTGCAGCTGCCTGGCTGAGTTCTGTCCAAAGAAAGTGAACAGAAGGGGTGTGCATACATAGGCACCACGCTTCCAGGCTTGGTGCATAAATCCTAGCACTTGACCCTCCATTCTGTGTTCTGAGAAGCCACAAGTTAAATATGCCAGAGGCTGTTTAACTGAGGTCTTTGAATGAGAGAAATAGAAGCCCCTCCTCAGCCCTGTCACCAATTGGAATTCATGTGATCCAGAAATAAGCTTCTATTAAACTAAGCCATTGAACATTAGGGCTCTTTCTGTTACAGCAGCTACCATTACTTTATTTAAAATAGGTGCCTAAATCCTAAAAACTGCAAGTAAGAAAGACAAGTATTTCTAAGAAAAGAGAAGGGCTGCTTGTTCAAGCAGGAAAATCTGTTTCCATGCATTGCTTTGATTGTGTAGGTCAGACTGAAAATGGTATAAGTCAAGGACTCCTATCTACTGTAATAAAAACTGTAGATGAAACAAAGCTACCCCAATCTATTTTAAAATATCTATTGAAAATTGAATTTGCATTTATAGCTCTTTTAGAACTCATTCTTGTGTCATCTTCTATGATTAATGTGTTAGAGGATTTTAGTGTTTTCTCTTTGGAACGGGGAAAAAATGTTTTGCTACATTAAGAAAAAATTCATTCCTTTGAAGCTAAATATGAACAGAATATTGTGGCATTTGATACTTGCTGTTTCTTCTTACAATAACAATTTATCTACACTTCTACAAATTAAACTTATGGGGATTATTTTATTTTGCTAATACATTATTAAATTACTAAATATATTTTAAATATGTATTAATGTTATGGAAAAAGAGATTTTGCTTACTGTTTTCTTAGTATGTTAATGCTCTACTAGGGCTAAGTTACTATGAGAAGGAAAATTACAGAGAAAATTTTGAAATACAGATTGAGTCGTGCAAGATCAGGAATTTTTTCCACAAGTGTCCATCAAATACAATTACATTACAAATATCTCCATCCAGATCCTAATTTATCTAGTATAGTATTTAAGGCTTAATTGTTTGCCTCTATTTCTATGTCGCTAAAGATGTTCCACCTTCAAAGATCATGAGTAATACTGAGACTCTTGACTTAAAGTTAAGGCCATAATTTCCATTAATATCAACATTAAAATAAAATTTCCTCATCATCGTTCATCTACATCTCCATTATATATAATTTATAACCTTTAAAATGTTGTTCTTTGCTTTATTTAATTCATTTACATTTTAAAATACAATTTGTTTATTTCCCATGTAGACTTTCAAACTAGGAGGAAATATGGCAAGCTCTCTGGTCTTTCTAACAGGATTTGTCCTCGGTTGCAAATTGGGAAATTGGCATTTTGATTTAAATATTAGATTCTCCTTGTATAAGTACCTATGAACCAGTTCCTAAGAGAAGAACTGTATTGGGCCCCATTGACCAATTGAGTTTCTAAATCTGCTTTGGAGCCAGACCTGGATTTTGGTAAGATTCTGCCTGGTTGTAGTCTCTAACTCTTGCCTATAATCTGCAATGTATAGTACATTCTCCTCATTTTCAAAAATCATCAGTGCCATTCTACCTGGAAGTTTCTTATTCACAGCCTCCACTGAGCCCCCATAGAACTACACTTGCTTTTTTTTTTCTTTTATTAGTACAGTCCATGTTGTCAGTCCATGATCTTTACATTCATCTTAGAGGGTAGGCACATGTACTTTACATATCTTGATTCTTTTTCTTCTCATTCCCCTCCCTACCCATCTTCCTCCCTCCATCTCTAGATCCCTTTTCCCCATTTCCATTATTATTGTTATTGTTTTACTTTAGATTGGTGACATGTAGTATAACGATGACACTCATTGTGGGTAGTTGGCATAGGTATATGATGCTTCTTAAATCTTTTTACTTCCCGTTCCCCCTTCACCTACTCTTGGTCTCTTGGTCCATCCCCATTTCCAAACAGTCTATCTCTCTGTTTCCTTTTATCAGTCTTTTATTTTGCTCTTTATTGGTACTTTGGATTACTCAAATGAGAGAAACCATATGATATTTAAGCTTCTGTTTCTGATTTATTTTCCTTAACATTATGCTACACGTGTTTTTGATATTTCTCCTTTTTTTCCTTTTGCTATAAATATACCACAGAAGTTAATTTAGACTGGAATAGCCTCCAAAGTCCAGTTCAGGGAGTAAATGTTACAGTTGTTTCTAAATACATTGTTTTCTTCCATATGGTTTACTTTGGAGGGCTTCTTCTGATCCATTATACTTGGAAGGGTATGAGGAGCTAAGGAAGATTCCCCAGGGAATCACTGAGCCTTTTTCCACGAACTAGAGTTTGGCTTTTCCTCTCAGTCATTATCCTTGAAGTTTCTAGACGATTTCCACAACTCTTCTTTTTTAGCCCTTTCCCAAAAGGCTAATGTTTAATGATTATCAGTAATTGATTTAAAGTAAATAGCAATCAAAAAGGGGGACAGGATGCTTTTTATTAATTTTGAGATAATTTTTATTTATACAATTAATGTAAAATAAGTTTAAATTTTTAAATCAATAGTGTAATATAATCAGAAAACACCACTTGATAATTATGTCTAATTTCACATTTGGAGGGAAGAGAAAATGTGTGAGTGCATTTGTCACAGCTAAAGGGTTTTAACATCCTCTGCTCCACAAAGCATCTTGTTCTTTAGATTCCCTGGGGCACTTTCACCCCAGCCTCCTTCTGACTTGCATTTTTGTCCTTTGAGTGTTGTTCTCCCTGAATGTCATTACTGTCAGCTCCTTAGGGGAAGAGAATGTGCTTTGAGCATTTTTTGTATTTTCCACAACATCTGGACCTCAGGACCATTGAATAAATGTTTGCTATATTTACTTAAAGATCCTAAAAAACAATTTGCTCATCAAATTTTCAGATGAACAAGGAGGAGCAGCTAATAATTTAAAGGTAAAAGCTTAAGAATTATAAAAGCTCCCAGAAGTCTGAAAACCTTGTAAAAAATAAAATACCAAGACCTGAAAGATAAATGCAATAATAATAATAATAATAATGATGATGATGATGATGATGATAAAGCTTAGAACAAAATGTATGTATTTAACAGTATATTAGATACAGCTGAAGACAGAATTAGCGAACTGGAAAATAACTCAGAAGAATCCATCCAAAAGGAAGAACAGGGAGCAAAAGAAAAGAAAAGCACATTAGAGGCCAAGAGACACAGAGGGTGCACCAGGAACTCAGACACACATACAACTGGTGTCCTGCCATGATGGGAAAGAGAAAGTGAGGCAAAAACAATATTTAAACAGAATGGTGGGTAATTTTTCAGAAATAAAAGATATCAAACCAAAGACTCTAGAAATATAGCAGATTCCAAAAAGACTGTGAAAATAAATGCAGACCTGGATATAGTGAACTTGCACTATTGGCATTAAAAGACAAGGACAAACTCTTAAATGCAGCCTGAGGAAATAGATTGCCATCAAAGTAGCAGAAATATTTCAAATTGAATCAAATGTTTATAGCATGAGTCATTTTTTTTATTTTAACCTCACTTTGAAGGCTGATTGTAACATGTGAGGTTTGCTTCTGAGGCTGGGGTGCAGGATATGAAAGATTAAGTAAAAAGGGTAGATTTGATATATCCTATCTCATTCCCCAGAAGTGGACCAAAAGCCAATGTGTAGAAGGTTCAAAGAAAGCATATTTCTGCCTAATACAAGAAGAAATGTCTAATGATTTGAGTTGTTAGAACCTGGGTTACCTTATAGAAGACATAAGTTATCTACCATCAAGGAGTTTAATTAAAAGGAAAGAGTTCAATTAAAAGGTTGATACATTCATTTGTCAAATATTTATTAGGCCCCTACAATTATACCACAGATAACTATAGATGCTCACAGTGTTTAAACAAGTGTAAACAAACAAAGAAAAGACAAAAGTCCCTAGAGCTTACACTATAGTTCAAAGAGACTGGCAATAAGCATGATAAATAAGTAAATTATGAAGGTAAAGGTGAACAGGAATGCCAGAGGGAGGTTTGCAATATAAGACGTTATTCTGCCAAAGACTTGAGAAAGAAAATGAGTGTGCTGTGAAGAGCTAAGCAGTTAAAAGGAATAGATCGGTGGGAGTCATTTCCAACTCTGTAATTTCATCTTACCATGGATTTCAAGGTGACTTTGGAATTTTAGCTAATTAAATATTATTAATTGCTATGAAATAATAGAATTCAGGGTGACTTCCTATATTGTGTTTATTAATAAAAGCTGTTCATCTTCACTATAAAATGCTAGCAGCTTTGCATTTGAAAAGCATTTCTTTTAAAATTCCATATTCCATAAAGAATGTTGTACTTTTTGTTGGTATCTCAGAATTTGGAGATTGGAGCAGATAATTAGTATAAGTGACTTAGAAAACTGGGTTGTCATCATGGGAAAGAGATGTAAAGAATCTTCACAGAGCATTCAAAAGTGGAATCGGAGTCTTGCTCTTCAGAATCAGATTGCTTTTTGAAAAAAAGCAAAGCCAACAAACATTCAGCTGCTTTGATTCTAAAAAATAATGTCTCTGATGTTGACCTCCGTGGTGCCAACCAGGTGATGTACAGAGGACTTTAACATGTACAGAATGAAAAGCCAAGAATATCTTCCTTCTTAACTTGTAGTCTTGTGTTGCAGGCAAACAAAAAATCCCTTTGGACGATTGAACCCATTGAAGGCATGGTTCCTGGAGAAGCTAATGTTCCCCTGACACTCACTGCCAACCTGAATGACGTTCTGACGTTCAAGGACACGGTCATTTTGGACATTGAAAATAGCAACACCTATCAGATTCCTGTCCAGGCTTCAGGAATTGGTTCTACCATTGTTTCAGATAAGCCCTTTGCTCCAGAACTCAATTTGGGAGCACATTTTAGGTAAGAAAATATCATGGACCAGTTTTTATTGATATTACATATATGTTGCACTTTCACCTATGTTAGAAACTTGTTTTTAAGTAAATAGTTAACAGCCAATTCAGCCCTTCTCCTGTCCCATCGTCACTTTCCCCCTTCTCAGTGGGGACATCAGTCACAAGAAGATATTTCCTAGTTACAGCTTGGCTACATTCTCCAATCTATGTCTGTCGACCCTAGAGAAGGGGATGATTTTAGGAAGTGCACTCTTCTCCCAAACTTGCAGTGACTTCTCTGTGATGAATTTAAGTCTCAACTATGATTTCTTCTCTTTCCAATATACTGCTAATATCACTCTAGGAATATAAAACCTAAGCAGAGTATACCTAGGAAGGCAAAAATTTATCGCAAATATCTTATCAGGTATTACAAAGTCAGTAGCTTTTTTGGTATTGTTTTTTCCTACTTGCCTCCTACCACACCACAATTGAGATGGCTGCAGTTGGCGTCCCCTGATTATCCAGGAAGAAAGAAGGTCTAAATATTTAAATACTAGGAGGCACAGTATAGGTATCACAATATAATATGGATATTAAAAGTATGAGGTTTGAATGGCGAGGGTAGAATATACATGTGGGGATTTATTTCTGATTCCTCAAGACAGTTACTGACCATTGGTGACTGGCTGGATTTGTGCCTGCCTGTAGGAGTATTGTGATCACATCTCACAGGTTGCTCCTCCCACCTTCTGTTCTAACAGCCCCCAAAACCAAGTCATATGGCCTGTGTTCAGAGAAGATATCCTAGGGGTAATCAGGAGCCCTCCCCACAATCCCATCTTTGCTTCCTTTCCTCTGCTCCACCTACGAAATGTGGCACTTGGTTGAAAATACCATAAACCAATAGCAAATTAAGTCACGTGCAAGTCAGAGAGTTGAATTGCATATATTTCTAAAGAGGCATCCAGTTACAAACATCCTACTCTCTGCCTGTCTATTGGCACAAGCTAGAGCATTTTGTCATTTCATAGCAGTGCTTCCATTTTTAAATTCCTTTAAATGTACTCAAATCTAATTATAAAAAATAAGGTACTACAAACTTGATCCAACTGCATATTCTTAATCTTATTCTTAATAGTGTCAGATAGCCCCAAAGGATATTCCAACCCTAGCCTGGAATTGGAAGGTTAACTAACAGTTTTCTTTGAATATATAAACATCTGTAGTTGTTAGCTGCTAATTTCCCCTCTGCGTAAACCCTGTTATTATTCTTTTTGGCATAAACTTGTGTTGCCAGCAGTAGCCAGAAGAATCGTCAAAAGCAGGGATAGGTAAACTACAGCTCACTGCCTGTTTATGTAAATAAAGTTTTATTGGCACACAGCCAATATATCCCTGGCTGCTTTCACGCTACAACAAAGAGGTGAGTAGTTAGGACAGAGACCACATAGCCCAAAAAGCCTAAAATACTATTATTATTATTATTATTATTATTATCATCATCATCACTCTCCCCTTTACAGAAAATGTTGATCAATCCCTGGTCTACAGAAATACACCCCACACCTATTGCATGGTGTGGGGCAATGCCCTTAGATTTTCAGAGCTTCTGTTACTTTATAAAATGGGAATTAATAGACTTATGATGACTGTGTTTCAGTGATTTAAAGATACACTGTGAATAAGTAGAAGATGCCCTACCTGGTTTATAAAATAGTACATATTACTTACCTATGTCCCCATTAGCCATAAAGTTAGACTGCCAGGTAAATTTGCTCCATTGAGCATGCCCCGTGGACACATATTTAGAGAGAAATTGTCTTACCTGAGAGTTGGAAAATATTTCTTCTGATTCCTTGATGCTTTAACTTATTTATTAGATATGTCATTTCCTAAGGAAGAGGAGAAAGGATGAAATCTCAGTCTAATAAAATATAAAAATGAAAAGGTCCTAAGATGAGTTTTTCCTTGAGAAAAAAACAAGACAACAAAAAACAAAATAAACTAAGCCTATAAATCAGTTTTCTAGATCCCAAACAAAACACACCTGAACCACCTTTAAAATCTTAGAAATTCCAGTTTATTCACAAAAAGACAGGCAATCAGGAGGTCCTTGGTAAGAATTTATAGAATAGATAATGAATGAACGAATTGCAACATCTATCTGATAAAGTACATTATCCAAGAAAAGTGCCCAGTCTGGATGGTATTCAGGCCTGCTTTGGTCCAGTTCACTGGCCTCAATTAAGACTTAAAGGATATGTGCTGCTTCTTTTCAGAACATCCTTCAAATTGAGCCTATCAAAAGACATTTCACTCAGTCCATAGAAATGTGCTCAACACAACTTCAGATATGCTTTTTCTCCTGTTGGTATTTTGCCTTCCTTTCCCATCTCAGAACCATCTCTCATTAATTAGAGTGCTTTGCACTCAAACTGTATCCCTGTGCCCTGGGCTGTGCTTGGCCTACTGAGTGGGGCTGCCTTCCCATAGCCTCTCCCCTACTGATGGCAACTCTGGGACCAAACTCAGGTCCGTGACCCTGAATTTGGGGGCTCTCAAGTAGAAACTATTTCACCATCACTGTGGTAGTTCCTAGTAGCTTCGTATCTTAGACTTTATACATTTTTTAAAAAAACGAATGTCTTATCTTGTTATTCTTTTTAAGTATTTCCATAAAAGTAAATCCCAAGGGTATGCAGTTGAACAGAACATCCATGAGCTGAGTCCTCTCAGTATCTGCCTTTTCTTTCCAGCCTGGATACCTATTATTACCACTTCAAGCTGACCAACATGGGACGTCGGATCCAACAGTTGTTCTGGATGAATGATAGTTTCTGTCCCCAGAACAAGTTGAGCATGAAGGGTCAGGTTAAAAGGGGACTTGCTTGTGGCCCTTCCCAGCCCCAGAGCTCCCAGGAGCCCAGGGATCCAGAAGGTCCAGTGTTTCAGATTCATCCCATCAGGATGGAGCTCTACCCAGGCCAGACGATCGATGTGATTCTGGAAGGCTATTCTGCAACTCCCAGGGTAAGAGGAAAGCACATTTAAGGCTATTTTTCTCCTAAATAAATCTTTGCTATACTGTATCTATTTCTTAGCAGAGTCCTTTGACATTTATCTGAGAAAGGATGTGGTTTCTCAAGGATTTTGTGCAGCACTGAGTTACCATGGCAGCATCCATTGCTTTCAAGGTTCAGCTCTGCTCCAATTTGTTTGTTTCTATAGCTACAATGAGGCCAACCTTAAAGGACTATTTCAAGCAGATTCTCACTCTCAGGGTTTATTGTAACCAGCCAGCAAGTCTCAGGAGGGGAACATCCAGTTTTTAGTCAAAGCAGATATTCCTGTTAACACGTATCAATATTAATTTAATATTTATTCCAAAAGGTATTTTTATAGATGCTCAGGGTTACCTTGTCTATTCAGATAAGGCAACATATACCTTGTTTATGCCCTCCCCACTGATTACAATAGCATCATGTTTAAAAACATCATCTTTGAATGTGTCAATGAAATAGTCATGTTTATCTGCAGCAACTTTGATTTTCTTCTGTTATTTACATCACTGCACATTCTGCTTAAATCATTTAATTAGATCCAAACTATGTGTCTGTTTATTACATTTCCCTCATGGAGTTTGGAAGCCACAAAAAAAAAAAAAAACTTTAAAAAGACTTTTGAAGTCACTTAAAAGTCTCTCCCATCCCAAAAATGCAGACTTTATGAATGAAAAATGATGCCTACTTAAGCTTCTGCCTATATTACCATGGTAGGAGGTGTGAGTGAATTTTCTCCTCATGAAGCAGGAAGCAATAAGAAATTTATCTCTCAAAGATAAGATGGGAAAGCTGGTCCATTTCTTCACTTCTTTAAGGTCACAGACTTTACTTTCTTTCATTTACATTATTTTTTCACAGAGAATTTTCAGTTAGAATATATCCCCAGTGCAAAAAATAATCTTATCTCTCATTATAGAGTCTGTAATGTGTTCCTTCTCTCTGCTATTCAGGGGATCGGCCAACTCTTTTGACTGTGTACCATGTGACAAACATTGTGCTGGGCACTGAGGATACAGAGATGAATAGAACATAACCCCTTATCTCAAAACACTCACAGCCTGTAGGAGAAGCACATTTATGAAGTGGTTATCAAGAGTTGAGCGTATTTTTAAAAAGCGTTAAATCCAAGCTACTGGGGCACTAAATTCAGTTTAGGCTTTACTAAAAGCTTCCCTGAATGTGCTTCCAAATTGTGCCATGCAGTTGAATTCATTAACATTCCAAACCTGAGCGCTCTTCAGTCCAAGCGACTCATGATATAAATTCACTTTTGATCCTTTCTGCTTTATAAAAAAAATCTGCCCTTCTTGAATGCAAAAAAAAAAAAATAGTTTTCTAATGCATGATTTTTAAATATGTAAGTCACTAATTTCATAAGAAATTATGATGTAATTGCCACTGAACTATAAGCCTCATGAAGGATTTTATCCACCTTGTTCATCACTGCTTTGTACACCCAGCCCCTAACTTAGCTACTGTTGCATAATAAATTGCATATGTATATATATACATGTGTGTGTATATATAGCAAGATATGAATGTAAATTGATTGTATCCTCAGAGGAAGTCAGAAATAAACACAGAATTCATCCAAGTCATATTTAACCAACCAGACCATAACTGTACAACAGAGAGCAATCCCTGAAATTCAGGGAAATGTAGTCTTCCTTCACGTCCTCAGACCGATAGTTTGGAATTAGTTTGCTCTTGGTAGGTCATTAAGTTTTCTGAGTTATGGTTATTCCAAAAGTGTTGTCACATGTTCTGTGCAGGTAGTCAAAGAAAAGTTGGTGTGTCACGCTACGGTTGGTACCAAGAGGGGGAAGAGCTTGCTGATGACCGTGAACATCATCTGTGAGTTCGTAGCACCGCTTATCCAGCTGTCCACCAGACAACTCGTATACCGACTGGAGAAGGTGAGTGAGGCTGTGCTCAGGAGGCTAGATGCCCTGATTGGGTCAATACGGTCAGGGTTTATTGGTTTGTTTGTTTGTTTGTTTGTTGTTGTTGTTTGGCAATTTGGGTGACACTGGGGATTGGAACCAGGGCCTTTGCACTGAGCTGCATTCCCGGCCCATTTTTATTTATTATCTTTCATTTTTAGGAAAGGTCTTGCTAAGTTGCTCAGGCTGAGCTTGAATTTGCAATCTTTCTGCCTCAGTCTCCCAGAGTGCTGAGATATCAGGCATCTTCCACCATACCCAGCTATGCTCACCTTTCAATTTTGTAAGCAAAATTAATTGGAATTCTGTTACAACCATTCCCTGCCAATTTTTTTTAATCTTCAGAGAACAGTACACATTCGACTAAAAATTCTGGATCTAAACCTACAATTGTTTGAGATAGAAATTCTGTTTCCATCCTTCCTAATGTATAGAACCAAAAAAGAAGGAATATTCACCAAAAAATGTATTTGAATCAACCATTTTGCTTTAGGTAAAATAAACATCATAGTGCAGGGCTGGAATAGAATTAGCAATGAAAAAAAAAGAATTATCAATGATTTTCATAATCAATAAGAATTGCTACCACTTATTGATTAGTATCACTAGATGTGAGCCATGTCCATTACATACATTTTCCCCACTGTCTCTCACAAAAACCCTACACAGTAGGTTCTGGTATCATTCTCATTATATACATAAGTAAGCTGAGATATAAAATAAGCTGTGTAGATCACTGAGCACTGCTGAATAATACATAGTCAACAACAACTGTCTGATCTACGTTTTTTAAGATGTCCCAGCCTTTGTATGGCTGTTAAGGCCAGGCAATAAATGGGACAATGGGCCGAGGATTTAGCTCAGTGGTTTCACCGCCCGCTGTGCAAGCGCAAGCACCCGAGTTTGATCCCCAGTACCAAAAAAATAAATTTAAAAATGGGAGAATCAAGGGTCAGAGGAAAGATGGAATGGCTCCTGCCCAGGGCAGGGGCTGGGATAGTAAAGAGGTAAGAGAGATATCACAGTAGGATTTGACCTACTCCTAAGCAGTCTTCCAGTCAAAAATTGTTTACCATTCAAAAGCAACATGTATGGAACATCTGCTCTGATTCAGAGAGTGTGCTGGTGCCCGAAGTCTGGAAAACCAGACATAATGAATAAGAGACTGATAGAGGTTATAGACTGTAATAAATAATTCAAATTTTATTTTTTCAATCCCAGTGTAAGCACTGCTTTGAAGAACTGTAAACTGGTATGAAAGCATAGATCAGGAGATGCAGCCTTAGCTATACATGTGGTCATGCGCATCTTCCTTGAGCAGGTGACTCAAGTTAAGATTGAAGTAAAAAATAGAAGTTAGTCTAGTGACAAGGGAGAGGAAAAGAATTGTAGGCAGAAGGAAGCTTGTGCCAAGGGCCTGCATTGGGAAAGGGCCTGGCGAGCCTGAGAAAAGCCTACCTTGGACAGAGAATGTACCATGAATGGCTGGAGATCTCCCTGGAGAAGGGGTAGGGGCCAGATGTGAGTGGATGCATACATACATACAACATGCATACATGTTCAGGACTTGGATTCTGTTCTTGTAACTATTGGAGTGCTTCAACAGGGAATGACATGGTCAGAATTAGTCATCAAGACGGCCATGCCAGCTGCTGAGTGAAATATTTATTCACACTTCTCATGTCCCGGACACTGTGCCAGGTTCTAGGGTTGCAGCAGTGAGAATAGGCCCTCCCTGATGAAGTTCGCAGCCTACAGGGAAGACTAAGCATAAAGAAAGCCATTGTCCCATCATGTGATCTATGTTGTGATATAAAAATGCTAGGTGTGGTAGTGCCTAGCTAGCCATGTGGAGATCAACTGAATTTTCTTTCATTACCTTGAGGTTTACAGGAAAATGTTCAAGACCATTTATTCTAGTAGTGAATTTCATCATATATCATTCATCAAAACAATGAAAAATCTATTGAGCACCACCATGTGTAAGGTGGATGAATAAAAATGAATAAAGCAGTTATGGTCCAGTAGAGGAGGTGAGATATACAAGTTTAATTCAAATCAACAAACCATGTTTAAGCACCTATAGTGTACTGGACAATGTATAGAGCAGAAAAGACATAGTAAAGAACAGACTTGGGGGAAAGTGGGCACTGAAGAAGTAGAATAAAGGTTTCAGTGACAGAAAAGCTAAACATGAAGCTAACAAGCTCCATAAGACATGTAAAAAGGAAACACTATGAGTTTGTATTCGGCTGGGAATGTAGCTCCATGATAGGGCACTGCCTAGCATATATGAGGCCCTGCATGAAGAAAAAAATAGTATTAACCACAGTTAAAAACTTTCATTACTCTGCTTTAAATTCTTTCTTTTTAAGTAATCAGGAAAGGTATTTATTGGCCATAGCTGCACTGAATTAAGTGGCATCATATTTTCTCTAAACACCGCTATTCAGAGAAAATTCAGTGAATATTTATTGTTCTGTGCAAGACATTATAATATATGTTAAATATGCAGCTTCATTTTATTTGATTTTTCTAAGCCCAGAAACACTCATAAAAAGATGTGAATAGTGCTCTTTTTCTTCTCTTTATAGCCTCATGCCTTTTAGGGGGCATAGCATATTTTTGCTTAAATGCCTGTTGTTTGTGTTCATGGCCAGATTAAAATATGCAAATATTCTGAATATGGCAATAACTTCTTGTTGAATTAAAAAGTGAATACAGTGACAACTCCCCACTGTTTGTTTTCATCCTTTTCTCCTTCCTCCACATATTATAAGTTTGAAATCTTTCCTGCTACTCTATTTTTCATTGTTCATTTCCTGCCCACATTTACTCCATACCAGGGATGATGAATAAATGCAGCTTATTACAGCATGTGGAACAGACCCGTTAGGTCTTGGTATTCAGATTTAATTGTCTCACACCCAATTATCCATTCTGCTTCCTTGTTGTCAGCTCAAGGCAGCGTGTCCTATTTGGTCTGTTAGAATATAATGATACGAACCCTGTCTACGGAAAAGGTTCTTCTATAACTATTTCCACAGATTTGATCTACTTTATAATGATTGTACCATTCATAAGCCATGGAAATGAAACTACATCTCTGTGGGATTGAAAAGGTCAATTGAAACTCTCAGCCTGTTTGTTTCATGAAGTTCCAGCAGCAAATTCTGTCTGCTGATATTTGGGGAGACAAACAACTCAGAGCGAAGGGGTCATTTTAAAATAGATCAGCTTCTCTAGGCTTCGACTCCTTCTCATCACTACACTCTGAATGGCCTCTTGCCAAAATCAACCGAGTGTGGCTTCTTCACCTCAAAGCCATCTGCAGTGACACAGCAGCCTCCGGGGAAGGTCAATGGCTGGACAGTTCTCGGTTCAGCCTGCTACTCAGTAGGCCTAAATGTGCTGCTTCATCCCTCCCTAACCTGGGGTACACAACCTGCAGATGCAAGAGGAGTCAGTGTCTGTGCTACATTAGAGGGAGGAAATCAAAGACCAGCATTGCATGGCCGGCACCAGACCCTGAAATGGCCTTGGAGTGCACAAGGAGCTAGCACAGAGCCTGGAGGCTGCAGCCAAGGGACAGTGGCCACCCAAGCTCCCCCAGGGCCAGGGGCCCAGGCACCACGTGGAAGGAAGACTATGCAGGACAAAAACTGAGAGACAGAATCAGTTCTGAATGGGAAGCCAGGAGGACTCAATGGAAATTGAAACCAGAAGAAGGGCCAAACCCAAACACGGAGGCCTGGAAAAAAACAGGCTGGCTGCCTGCCTCACAAGTGCAAGGTCCTGATTTCGATCCCCGGCCCCCCTCCCCCAAAAAAGAAAAAAACAGGCTGTAGTTTTAGAAGAGCCCAGGAATGACTGGAGGGAGAGAGATTAAGGCTTCTGGTCACTTTCTGATGATACTAAAAGACCCCCTTTCCAGAGCACACAAGAAAGAACATGGCCCCAACATCAGAATGAGAAAAACCCAATCCTACCAGAAACTTCCAGTTCACTCTCCATTTCAGATGCTTTCTCTTATTAAAAATTTAAGTACGATTTATCTAACAGAGCGAGGAGATTCTTCTAAATCAACTCTCCTACTGATAACAGGAAAAATCTACAGAAAATGGTTATGAGTATTTGTTTATTTAACAAGATAAGCATGCTGGCAATTTGGGTATTTTAAGCATAGAAAAAGCATTACATAAGAGCAAATATTTATCTCATATAGTGAGGCCTAGATTCTTTCACAAGATATTGCTAATTTATTAGACTCTGTCCTATGGTATTGTAGAAACTCCGGTAGTAATAGTTTTACCGGAAGCATGGCTTCTGGAGGTTTTTATCAACTAGGCAACAAGAGTCAGAAATTTAATCTCTTTCCTTGGTTCTATAGGTTTGCTTTTCAGTAGTCTGCCACACATCATTCCACATGATTTATATAAACCTCTACCAGAGGCCATATATACCTAAAAGGCACTATAGGAGGCACTAAATTCATAGTTCACCATGGATATGAAACTTTTGTTAACCATAGCTTGGTTTGTTTCTTCTTTTTCCTATTTCACAGAAACCTAACACTAAACTGGAACCTGATTACCAGCCCTTGGTCATAAAGAACATCTCCAACCTGCCTGTGAACATGTTGCTCTCAACAACTGAACCCTTCTGTATATGTGAGACTGATAAATCCCTACTGCCTGCAATCCCTGAGGTAACGTGAGGGTGGGCTGTGTGTGTGTGTGAAAAAGATGAGGATAATAATAATATACCACCTGGCTTCAGAAAAATAGAGGAAACCAACAGGAAAGACTACAGAAAATCTAAAATGAGTAATAAATAAACTCCAATATCGATCAGTAGGAGCACTATTTTTAATGGTGTGGGATCTTCCAGCTCACTATGATAACCCCTTTGCTCCTGCACGTTATAATGCAGCCAATACATAGAAACCAGTGGCTTCCTACTAGCTTTTAATTCTCCTCCATCAAAGCCAACCAAAACTCCATACTCAAGGAAAGGAGAGACTAGCCAAGACCAGTCTCCAAACCGGCGAGCCCATTTCCAAGCTCTAGAAGAACTGAACTAGGCTGGGGAGAGACTCTGAGCTCACCCCTGCCACCAGGCTGGGGAAGAATGGAGCAGTTTCTGAACAGCCCTACAAGAGGGGCCCTGACATCCTCTGCTGGGCATGAGGGCACCAGTGAGAATGGCTGACCATGGCCAAGTGACGCTGCAGAACTGTGGGAAAGGATGTTTGAAAGGAATCCAGGCCCCTACACATACATGCGCGTGCATGTGCGTGCACGCACACACACACACATGCACACTGATCCCTGGCTGAGTGGATCTCCTTGAAGCACAAGGAGGGAAAAAGTCAGCTAAGATCTCTGAACAGAGAACGAGAAGGAAGAAATGATCATCAGCAGAAGCAGATGAAAACACACTGCTGCAAGAGGACTTAGCCAAGGAGAAGGACCAAAAGTACAGACAGGTAGTTATCTACAGCCTCGGAGAAAGTACAGATAATATAACTTGTCTTTGAAAAGTACTCAAGAATGAGACACAAGTACTCAAAGAGGAGATGAAATGTAAACTCAGAGCACAGGAAAACAAGTGGGTGAGAGAACAGGATGATTCACACATGAACACTGTTCTCAATCTGGATGAAGCTGACGCTTGTTCCTCCTGAGACCCTGATAGGATGAAAGTAGAAATTTCCAAAAGAGAAGAGCCCAGAGCAAGAAAATAAAGGGAGAGGCAGATAGGCAAAATCAAATAATGAGAGATATAAGAAGATAGAATGATTAGAGTGAGTTGAAAAAAAGCCACAAAAATCTGCATCCAAAAAAATGTTGCAGCAAAGTTGTGAAAAGTAAACTTGTTCCACCCAGTGAGCTCTGAATTATCTCTGAGCTCAGAGCAACAAGTTTGAGGAGAGGACTGGAAATGAGAGAGCCTCTGCTCTAGGCCCCACCCAGAAAGTATGGACAGCTGGCTTTGATCCCAAGACAAAAAAACTGTGCTCTTCCCAAAGAAATTACTTTAAATGTTTGGGGAGATTTCATGCTTCTAGTGTTGTCAGTGTTGGTACTGCAGAGTGAGCCCCCCTCCCTCATTCTGGTAGCTGGGGCGCACCCAGGGCTTGATTGCCACTCTCTGCCCAAGGAGACTGTTCAGTGGGCCGACTTGATGGCCAGCATTCAGAAATGGTGGCCTCTCGGTTGTCGGGATGTCAGGTTGGGTCAGGAACTACAGGTTCTTGTAATAACTCTGGTAGGATAGTCTTCACCTTTTATGTATTTGCCCACGTGCACATAGTTTTAAAAATAGTTTCTGTAATCAGCAGGAAAAATAACAACAACCCAACAGAAAAATAGGCAAAAGAAATGAACAGAGGTCACAGGAAAACAAAATGATTTCTCTGTCCCTCTACATGTTTCTCTCTCTCTCTCTCTCTCTCTCTCTCTCACTCTCTCCGCCCCCCCACCTTCTCTGCAGCCCAGGCTGGCCTCAAACTCGTTATTCTCCTGTCTCACCCTCCCAAGTGCTGGGATTACAGGTACACACCATCACAATCTGCTAAAATGACTCTTTTCATATGAAAATATGCTCAACTTTGTTCACATTAGAAGAAATCCAAATTAAAATGACCAGGAAATACATTTTTAACCTATACAATTGGCAAAGAGCAAAAATTAGAGTGTCCAGTGTTGAGGAGGACATGTGGATGCAGATGTTCTCTGGCACTATTGGGCAGGACACACTGGAAGGAAGTGTGGCAATGGCTATCAAGACTTTAAATGTCCATACCCTTGGACCTTACAATCCCACACCTAGGAATTTATTCTACAGATATAGATATAGTATACAAGTTGAGATATATAGATATAGATATCTTGATTAAAACAACAAAAGCTCGAGAACCAATACCCTTCAACAGGGTAAATGAAAGCAGAATTATGCAATGGAATAAGATTCCACTTTTTAAAAGGATGAAGGAAGAGCACACCTGTGGTCTCAGCACTCTGGGAGGCTAAAGCAGGAAGATTGCAAGTTTGAGCCAAGCCTGGGCAGCTTACGGAGACCCTGTCTTAAAATAAAAATTTTTGAAAGGGCTGGGATGTAGCTCAGTGTGAAGGCCCTCAGTTCAATCACCAATACCAGGAGAAAGAAAAAAAAAAAAAAGAATGAGGCTCTTCCATATGCAGTAATACCAAATGATTTCCCAGTGAGAAGAGTGAGATACAGAACATTGTGCACAGCATGCTATCTTGTACATAAAAAATAAAACCAACAGATGTGATTTATAGCCATTGAATGGATCTACAAAGATAGACAAGACACCAGTGACCTTGGTTACCTCACAGGAAGGAAATCAATTGGTTTGGTCAAGAGCTAGGAAGATGGGCACAAGATGATTTGATTTTCATTATCTATTCAAAATACAAACTGAATATTTTTAAAATATTTTTTAAAATAAGGCCACACTCGGTCCAGAACAAAATAATGTAGACTATTCAAAACTGAGATATATCATAGTGAAGTCATTGGACTTACTGATAACCAAGGAACTCTGTGGCATCTAAGAAGAGGTCCATCAGAGATAGATTTCATAGTAACATCAGCTTTCTCTGCAATAACTTCATACCAGATGACAACAAAGCACTCTGAGATAAAGCGTGACCCAAGAATTTTATAACCTGCCAAAGCATACTTTGAGAATAAAGGTAACAGATAGGGACTCTTAGGAGCAACGACTCATTGAATGAGCATTCATATGCCCTTGTCCAAAAGCAAGCTCAGTTTGCCAATAAAATACAGCTGTCCAGAAGCATCAGATGAAGCACTCAAGGATGAAAACACTGTGAAGACAATGACTAGGGAGCCCTCCACCTATATAGCTGAGATTACACAATTCTGGGGGCTGGGATTTCAGAGCAGAATGTTTTAAACTGCTACTTTTTAAAATTCACTACAGCCAATATTTTGGAGGTAGGCAGAGCATAGAAGTGCTGATTTCATCCCTTTTATAATTGAGTATCCACAAAAACTGCTTAATCTGTAATCATCTTTTTATTTATTGGGAAGGGATAATAGTAACAATTAACATTTATATACCACATACTATCCTGAAACACTATATATATACATATATATGTGTATATATATATATGTGTGTGTGTGTATATATATATATATATATATATATATTCGTTCCATCCACTTAAGAAGAGATGGTACTATTATTAGAGATGAAAAAACTGAAGTCCAATACTTTGTCCAAGGTCATACAAGGAGTGCTCAAAATATATGATAAATGTTTAAATTTTTTAAAAATTATTATAGTAAAAGACATATTGCCACTACTCTTCTTCAAAATAGTCCCTTTTGCTTCAAACACATCCCACTTTCTGAAACAGTTCTGGAAGTCCTCTTTCAGGAGTGTCCTTAAGAGATATGATCAAAAATACAGTGAATTCTGCTGTCAAGTCCCATCTGATGGAAAAGCAGGCTTGAAGGAACATTATAGTATGTTCTTATCCGTCTTACTCACCAGATCTGACACCATGCAGCTTCTGGCTCTTCTCCAAAGTCAAAATGATTATGAAAGTTAAAAGTTTTTAATCAATTCAGGACATTGATTGAGCCATAACAGTTCAACTAAAGAAACTAAAGAGGATTTCCAGAGCTGCTTCAGAAAGTTACAAGAACCATGGGTTAAGTGTGTTTAAATAGAAGGGGAGTATGGGGGAGGAAATTAATGGCACTGTGTCTTTTATTGTAATAAAATTTTAAATTTAGATATTCACCATATTTTTTATCACACCTGATACAACTAGTAACGAGGAGAACCACAATTGAGGTGGAAGCAGACTGGACCCAGAGTTTGTAAACTTGAGATGTAATATCTCTTGATATCAGAAAATGAACAGACATCCCCTGCTCCTAGGTAGGAAGGATTAATAGAGTGAAAATGGCCATACTTCCAAAACTGCTATATAGATTTAATGCAATTCCAATTGAGATCCCAGCACCATACTTCAT